TCGCCGGCGAGCTGGTGCCCTACTGGGACCAAAGCGAAGTGTCCAGCTACGTTGCGGGAGAGCTGTCCAACTTTGCAACGAACGCCTCGGTTTCCTCGGCCATCAGCTCGGCCCTGTCGAGCTATGATGACAGCGGGGCCGTCGATTCGAAGATCGTCACGGCTCTCCTGGACTTTTCGACATCCGCAGAGGTCACACAGGAGATCGCCGATGCCCTGAGCAACGTGGACCTGTCCGGCTACTACGACCAGGCCCAGACGGAAGCCTACGTGGCCAACGAGCTGCTGGCCTACTACCCGCGCACCGAGCTGGACAGCCAGCTCACGGCCACCTTCCTGCAGTACTGGACGTCGGGGCGCACCCAGACCGAGATCGACGATGCGCTCGCCGGCTCCGGCTTCCTCACCCAGGCGCAGGCCGACACCCGCTACTTCGCGGTGAGCGCCAACAACAGCTTCGAGTCCCTGGTGCGCACCAACGTGACGCCCCCGATGATCAAAGGCCTCCTGCCCCGCGCGCCCCTGGGGGCCAGCAGCCTCTTCTCGGACTCCACGCTGGAGCTCACCTGCGACGCCTACACCAAGGCGGAAGCCGACGGGCGCTACCTGGCTAACAACAACTTCGCGCCGCTGGACGCCAGGTACTTCCCCAACAATCCCGCCGTGCCCGAGGGCAACGGCCTCTTCCACCTGGTGCAAAAACAATTCACGCCTCACATCGTGAGAAGCCTGCTCTTCCGGGCGCCCCTCACTGGGCAACGGCAGCGTGATCGAGATAGAGGCGGACTGCTGGAGCAAGTCCCAGAGCGACAGCCGCTACCCATGGTCGCCACCTTCAACAGCCTGGGCTCCCAGGTCAATGGCATCGACACCCGCGTCACCGCCCTGGAGAACACCACGGTGCCGGACCTCGACACTCGAGTCACGACTCTGGAGAACAGCGGCGGGGTCGCCCCCACCGCGGACTTGACGGTCAACTCCCTGACGGCCACGAGCTTCGTGGACACGCCCGAGCTCCGGAGCTCTGCGGGGGATCTGCAGGTCCAGAACGCACTGGTCACCATCCGCAAGGAGGACGGGGCGCTGCTGGCCTCCTTCGCCGACGGCGGCATCAGCATGGACCGAGATGTGACCGTGGCCGCGGCCAGCACCCTCAACGCCACCACGGCGGATTTCGCCCAGTTCTTCGTGGGCAGCACCGCCGCAACCGGAGCCTTCAACACCAGCTCCACGATCGCGGCCACGGGCCTCATCTCCGCCAACGGCGGCCTGGCCGTGGCGGGCACCACCACCTCGGACAGCGTGGAGCTCACCACGGAGCTGCGGAGCCCCATCGTGAAGGCCCGGCCCACGGACGACTACCTCACCATCACCGGCGGCACCCAGGGCATCTACGTGAACACGGGGGCGGTCTACATGGGCGGTGCCCTGGTGGCGGACCCCGGGCTCGTGACGACCAGCAGCTGGCTGCAGCTGGTTGGCGGCACGCAGGGCGTGCAGCACCAGTGCGAGAGGATGCAGGTGACGGGCAATCAGTCCATCGTCACCGCCGAGGTCGAGAACACCTCGGCCACGGGCTTCGCCAGGCTGCGGCTGCTGGCCAACGGGGGTTTGGGCGGTGCGGACCTGGAGGTGGCCTCTACCGGCGGTTGCACCCTGGCGAGCATCAACCAGACCATCAGCTTGACGAACGTGAGCGGCGGCTTCAGCAGCGCCAATGTGATCATCTACCCCCAGAGCAACCCGTCGCTGCCCGGCTGGATGGTGGCCACCTACGGCTTCACGGAGCTCTCGGATCGGAGCGTGAAGACCAATGTGCGGACGCTGAAGCACCGGGACATGCGGGAGATCTTCGATGCGGTGGAGGCCAAGATCTACGACCGGTCCGACAGCGGGCAGAAGGACCAGGTGGGCTTCATCGCCCAAGAGGTCCAGGCGGCCGGGAAGCTCGGCCCCATGTTCACCCACGAGACGGACGAGGGGCTGCTGACGTTGAACTACCAGCGCATGGTGGCCGTGCTTTGGGGCACGGTGAAGGAGCTACAGAAGCGGGTCGACAAGCTCGAGAAGAAGAAGGGGCGCAAAGGCGACTCGGATTAGAAATGGCAGAGGACGGCGCGATGGAGCTTTTAGGGCGGCTCGCCCGCGACTTTAACGTGCGGGATCCCCGCAAGCTCTTTCAGATCGCCCGGCGGGAGTTCCCGGAGCGGCGGGACCTCACGAGTGCGCGGGCCCAGGCGGCATTGCGCAGCGACGTGGCGCGGCAGGTGCTCGCACCGAAGCCGCGGAGTTTGGGGAAGAGCGCGGCGGAGGGGCCGAACGACCGCTTGCAAGCCGACCTGGTGGATTTCTCCCAGAACACGAGGGGGGCGAACAAGTACGGGCTTGTGGTGACGGATGTGTTCACCCGGGAGGTGGCGACGAAGGCCCTGCCCGACAAGCGGGCGGAGACCGTCACCCGAGCGGCCGCGGAGATCATCCCCGAGCTGGTCCAGGACGAAACCAACGTCGTGGTCACGACGGACATGGGGAACGAGTTTCGGGGCTTGGAGGCGGCGCTGCCCGGAGGCGCGGTGCACCGCCAGAAGGACCCCTCCGATCGCAATGCGACCGCGGTGGTGGATCGAGCCATCCAAACACTGAAGAAGGATCTGGCGGGAAAGGTGTCCCGGGACGGTGGGGGCTGGGGCGACCATGTGGAAGAGGCGGCGGAAGCCTACAATGCCCGCCCGCATGCGGCCGTGACGGTGGCCCCCGAGGATGTGGAGACGATGCCGGCTGCGAGCTTCCGGGTCTACCAAGACAATGCGGCGAAGTTCAAGCACAACGACGAGTTGACGAGGAGCCGTCAGCGGCGGCTCGAGGAGGCGGGGGCGTTCCGGGCCCCCACCAATGCAGCGAGGAGCTTCCAGCCCCAGTACGGGGCGGTGCGGGAGGTTTCGAGTTACGACTCGATGACGGTGCGGGCCACCGACGGCTCGGAGACCCTGCTGAAGCATGCGCTCCCGGTGCCCCGCGGCTCCGCGGAGCCTAAAGCACGGCTGACTCGGCGGCCGGTGCCGTTAGCGGTGCGGCAGCTTAGAGATTTCAACCCCGGGCCCACGGCGCCGCCGTAGACTTGCCGCCCGAGCAGGGCAGCCTAGTAGGGATGAAGGGTTCTAGGGGTTCGGGCCTGGGGGTTCGGGACTTAAGGTAACCAGGGGCTGCAGACCACACGAACCTGGAAGACGTCGAACCGACCTGGGCGCAGGGCCAGCTTGCAGAACATGCCGATGCGCGCACACAGCAGGCAAAGCGGCAGGACTTTGTGCACAGCCTGTACGCTGGGTGCTCGGTTCCTGTACGTCGAACACGCTAGACCTGCTAGGGACAGCAACTGCACAGCACCCCTACGGCGGTCCCGACGGCTCAGACTCCATCACATCCAGCTCGGTCTCCACCAGCCCTAACTCCGCCTCGTACCTCAAGAGAATCGAAGGATCGCGCCACGTGGCATCGGCAACATTCCAAGCGAACTGTCGGGCTGCAGCGTCCCCACGCAGCCCTCGAACCCGCTCCGCTGCTGCCAACAGCCGTCCCCGCAGTGGGTGCTCGCCGAGGAAGGACAAACGTTGGCCGATCTCGGTCGAAGTCATGCGCCCCAGCGCCGCACGCCAATCCGCAAGAGGGGATTGCAGCTCGCGACGGGAGTCAGCATCGCAGGCAGCCACTTGAGACAAGACGTCGACGTGGTCGAGGGCACGGTCGATATCCGGCTCTCCGATCACGCCAATGTCGAGAAACGGGTGCTCGACAGGCTCCACGGCCGTCTCAGTCAGGAACTTCAGGACGAGGTTCCAGGCCATGACGCAGCTACGAGTCGGGGCGGCTAAAGCTCGAGAGGGCACAAAACTCGCGCAAGGTACGTGTGAGGCTGCACAAGGCTGCTAAGCACGACGGGACCTGGGCTCCGGACGATCACCGCTGAAGGCTCGCCGAGTTGAACAAGCCCAGGCCTCAATGCCGGGCAGGTCACTTCCACCATTTCCAGGTTTTCCAGGGTTTCCAGGGGGGTGTTGGGAGGGCCCAAAAAGCCAACATGGAAAGCGTGGAAAAATGAAGCTCCTAGACACCAGAATCGGGCTGGAAGGATAGGGTTCAAAAGCGAACTCCGAACACCCTGGAAAACGTGGAAAGCGTGGAAAAATGAAGCTCCTAGACACCAGAATCGGGCTGGAAGGATAGGGTTCAAAAGCGAACTCCGAACACCCTGGAAAACGTGGAAAGCGTGGAAAAATGAAGCTCCTAGACACCAGAATCGGGCTGGAAGGATAGGGTTCAAAAGCGAACTCCGAACACCCTGAAAAACGTGCAAAGCGTGGAAAAATGAAGCTCCTAGACTCAATTTTCCACGCTTTCCAGGGGGGTGTTGGGAGGGCTCAAAGGCCACCCTGGAAAACGTGGAAAGCGTGGAAAAATGAAGCTCCTAGACTCAATTTTCCATGCTTTCCAGGGTGGCCTGTGGTCCCTCCCAAGACCCCCCTGGAAACCCTGGAAAACCTGGAAAGTGTGGAAGTGACCTGCCTGAGATAGAAGCGGGCTGGAAGCGCAACCATCCGCGAACCTGTGGAGGGGCCAGGGGCCCGGGGTTCCCGGGAACAGGGCCGGGGTCGCAGGGCACTCTAGCTTTACGGGATGGGGGAAGCAGTGCAGGGCCCTCCTGTGCGCGCACGGAACAACAACCCCCACAATCGCAAAGTCCGAAAAAACCCTGAACAGAGGCACCAGCACAGTGACGCAGGTTCGAACCTGAGCGAGGCGAAGGGGATCAGAGTGACGGAGCTAAAAAAGCACAGAAGCGACCTGCAGCATCCTACAACACGGCACACAAGGCTTGAAGCTGCGAAACTGTTTGCACGGGCGCGGCAGCGGATCCTGTACGGAGCTGCGCCGAACGCGCAGGCCCTGAGGCCCTAAGGGCACAGCTGGGGTCCTGTACTGACCGCTGTGCCAGCCGCGGCTTCAGCCGACGGTCTTACTCCAGAGCTCCCGCAGCCTGGCGATGTTCTCCTGATCAGACTCGACGCGGCCACCCAGCACCTCGCCTTTCAGGATGCCATCGGGGACGAAGATCGCGACCATCCTCTTGAGGATTGCCCGGCGGTCCACGTCGAAATACTCCTTGATGGGCATGTCATGCAAGTCCCCGCAGAACTCCTTGGGGATGTGGGTTTCCGTGGCGCTGTGCATGACCTGGAGCCCCGGGTGCACCTTGTCGACATCTTGAACCGTGATGATTCTCAGGCAATCCTGTGGGATCTGCATATCTGCGTAGCGACTCTGGAGAGTCGCTCGATCATCCCGGGAGATGCCTAAGAGCTGTTTCACAAAGTCCGGCCCTCCTCCTTGGCTCCCCACGTTTTGCCGGTTGGCAAGGAGATCATCGAAAACCAGGGGCCGCCCGCCCTGAAGCAGGTTGAACTGGTACGCCTTGCGGAGGCTGTCCACGGTGCCGGTGAAGATCATCTCGTCGATCTTGCCACCCAGGACGTGCTGCATGTACCAGCCGGCCAGTGCCTTGGCGAAGGGCGATTTGCCTCGACCTGGAGGCCCGTAAAGCACTATGGTTCTCCTCGTCTGGATGGCGGTGGCGACGGCCTCGTCCAAGGGCACGGACTTCTTGCAGCCACTCGGCTCGTCCCAATACCAGCACTGGCAGGTCTCGTAGTTGAAGTCTGCGATGGAAAGCGTGGACTTCGCCAGCATCGCCTTGGCCTCCTTTTCCTCATCAACGGCCTTGCGGAGCTTGTTGAGGGCCTCCCGCTGCACGTAGATGTACTCATCCTCGGTCGTGGCCTTGCGCTTGCGAGTCCGCAGGGCCGTGTCGCCTCCGAAGCGGTCCTCCAGCTTGGCCATGTGGGACATGTAGCCGACGGGGTCGAGGTGCTCCAGGCTTCGGAGCGCCGCCCGTGGGGAAAACTCCGCCGCGTCCTGGTCCTTGGCTTGGTAGTAGGCCCCCTTGTCGAAGATGCGGATGTTGCCCCGCTGCCAGCCGGCCTGGAGGATCGCGGAGAACAGCGGGGGCAGGCAGTCCTTCTTCACCTTGAAGACGTTCTCGGCCCGCACCGCGACGCCCTTATTCTTGCTCACGAGCATGAAGTTCGTGGGATCGTCTTCGCGAAGACAGAAGGCCATCGCGCCGTTCCACTCTGGCAGCGGCCCCACACCAGTGCGAGTGGGGAACTCCAGCACGACCCAGTAGGGGTTGAAGTTCGCCGCGTCCTTCTCGTCGCGATAGAGGCACTCCCGGAAGCGTCGGACTTCCTCCAGCGGGCAGTCCGGGCCGTAGTGCTCAAAGTCTTGCTTCGCAACCACGTGGTCCCTGTACTCCTTGAGCGGCTCACCCAGCTTCCCGTTCTCAAAGGCCGGAATGGATGGCTCCTCGGCTGATTCCTGCTCCGCCGACTCGCTGCACTGTGCAACCACTGCCTCGCTGGGCTCTGCAACCACTGCCTCGCTGGGCTCTGCAACCACTGCCTCGCTGGGCTCTGCAACCACTGCCTCGCTGGGCTCTGCAACCGGCTCGCTGGGCTGTGCAACCTCCGGCTCGCTGGGCTCTGCAACCGCGGGCTCGCTGGGCTCTGCAACCGCGGGCTCGCTGGGCTCTGCAACCGCGGGCTCGCTGGGCTCTGCAACCGCGGGCTCGCTGGGCTCTGCAATCGGCTCGCTGGGCTCTGCAATCGGCTCGCTGGGCTGTGCAACCACCGGCTCGCTGAGCTGTGCAACCTTCGGCTCGCTGGGCTGTGCAACCTCGGTCGTATTCCTGATCTGCTTCATGAACTTGTCCAAACTGGCCTTGGGAGCAGAGGAGCCCCTCCCCAAACCTCGCCCTTGAAGAACGGAGCGGCTCTTGGCAGATGCCGACTGCGAAGGCAGCGTCACAAACAGCTGCTCCATGGCAGACGGCGCCCCTTGCGCCTCTTGGCGAGCCGTGGACAGCTCCGACTCGGGAAGGAGGTCCAGCTTGTTCCGGAGCCTCTGCAACTCAGCGTTGGCTTGCTGGACACCGATCCGGTCAGTTTCTGAGCACAGCTTCGGATCCAGGAGCTCCAGCAGGCGGTCGCAGCAGGCCGGATAGTCGCCCAAGCCGAGGCGAACGCCGACCCGAGCCAGGTCTGGCAGCGCGGGGCTGAGGACCACGTTCACGGCCTGCGAGCGGCGAAAGTGCGCCATCGCACCTACCCCTGAAGCTGGGGGGCTCGGGAAATCAACAAAGCTGCGACGAATGCACAAGCATGCCAACCAGCCGGCTTCGAAGAGGCAGCAAAGAGAGCACCAGGGCCCAGGCGATGCGCGAAGCCGTCGCGAGCCGTGCCGAAGACTCCAGGCCTGGGAGCGAGGGGGAGTGATTCATTTAGATCAGCCCTTCACAAGCATACCGAACTTCAAGAGGCGACACAGACAAGGTCCAGGCGCCGCGCCGAAGAGACCTGGGCAGAGCAAGAGGGCAGGGCCCTCCAAACTGCAGGCTCACGAACTTGCAGCACAGGGCACTTTTTAACTCGACCGGCAGGCGCCGCCTCTGTACCGTGGCGCCGTTGCCATGCCAGGGGATTCAGATCGCACCCCAATGTACGGTGGTGCCATCGCCCAAAGTTGCTACAAAGAAGCCCATACCCGCACTCACATGGACGACGTCCCGCAGCTGATGCTGTACTGCACTGCTATCTCCTCCCACCGCGGCAACCCCCCAGGTGACCACGGAGCCATCATGCTGGATGCACCTCACGTTCTGCAATGACGGCCCATCGCCACCACAGTCGGCCTCGCCCCAGGTCACCACGGAGCCGTCTTCCAAGATGGCCGCGAAGGCCGCGTCGTTGGCCTGGATCTCTCGGACCTTCACCAAGCGGTCCCGCACGGCCTCGCAGTCTCCACCGCATTCCTCATGGCCCCAGGCCCGCACGGAGCCATCCTTCAGGATCGCGGCAAAGGCCTTGTCTGTTGCCTGGATGGCCACGGCGTCCGTGATGACGCGGCCACCCAGGTCGCCTCCAGCCGCCTCGTGACCCCAGGCGTACACGGAGCCGCTGGACGTGATTGCGGCGAAGGCAGCTCGGGTGGCCTGTACGTCGACGACCCCGCACAGGTCCTCCCCATCCTCGGACCAGAAGCCGTCGCCACCTGCTTCCGGGTCACCCCAGCAAGACACCTTACCGTCGGCCATAATGGCCGCGAAGGCCGATTCCGTCGCCTGGATCTTCACGACATTCTTCAGCGCCGGTAGGACCAGGCGGTTGTCGCCGCCCGCATTTTCATCACCCCAGGCCACGACGCTGCCATCATTGAGAATCGCGGCGAAGGCGCGCTCAGTGGACTGGATGGCGATCACTCCCTCCACGTCAAGCCGTACAGGTTCACCATCATCGCCAGGCTGAAGGGGCCCCAACCCGCCTGTGTGCGGGTTACCCCAGCAATCGATCGCGCCGTCGATCGTTATGGCCGCGAAGGCGGTGTCGGTGGATTGGATCTGCACGATGTCTTCCTCGTAAAAATCTGCACTCGCATCGCCGCCGGCAAGTTCATGTCCCCAAGCCACGACCGATGCATTATCCAAGAGGGCTGCAAAGGCCTGGCAGGTGCACTGCACCGCCTTCACCCCCTGCGCGCCACCTCGGCCACCGAGATCAGGGTCCCCCACCGCCTCCGCGGTGCCGTCGCCGTACAGGATCGTGTATGCCTTCAAACTCGCCAGCGTGCGGGGCAAAATTGACTGGAACGTCAGGACTCCATCCCCCACATCCTTCATCTTGCTGTCGAAGTCGAGGACGTCGGTGCCGAGGAGAAGCCGTCCGCGGCAGGTGCCGAGTGCCACTCTGGCTTTCTCGGCGATATCGCCCAAGGTGTCCTCGGGACCCCAGCGGACGTCGACCTCTCGCCCGCTCAGTGATACGACGCGAACCATGGCAACAGATGATAGCTTCGTGGTATTACCAGCTAGCCACATTAACCAAGTATGTGAAAGAAGTTCTCGCACTGACTTCGATTCTCCAGGCATGCGTCGGCGCTAAGCATGCTCACCCCTGTCAGTGGGGCCCCGATGCTGTCGAGCAAGAGCACTCCAAAGCATCGAAACATGCCAACCAGCCGGCTTCAAAGAGGCAACTCTTGCAGAGGCACAGGGCTCCAGACGTTTCGAAGTCGGCGAAGACGCTCGCAGGAAAACCTGGGCGAAGCGAAGGAGGGGCCGGGGCTCCCGGGAAGGGGGAATGCAGGGCACTCTAGGTTTACGGGAAGCAGCGCAGGTCCCTCCTGTGCACTTGCACTCGCACGACACCAAGCCCGCACAACATCCGAACAACCCCTGAAGAACCCCTGCGAGCACCACGCCGGCGGAGAAGGTCCAGACCTGGGCGGAAAGGCGCGGGCAAGGGGCAGCCTACGGGGACAGGGCAACGGGACAGGGCAGTGAGAGGCGGCCTAGGGTAACCAAAAGGGTTGGGGAAGGGGAACACCGAAGCAACCCAAGCAAACTGAGGTCCCGACGCAAGCCCACCTGCCCGCCCGACCGCCCGGCAACCCCCCCGCCCCTACCCTACACTCCTTGAGAAAGCGAGCGCGGAAACCAACAAGTTCAATGCAGGGCCGAAGGGAGGGCCTAGCGGGTTCGGGACTCACTCCGATGCGCACTCACTTGCAAAACACTTGCAGGGCAGAAGGGGACAGCCTACAGCGGGGGCCGAAAGGGTTCGGGAAGCCCTGAAAAACTTAAGGGGAGGGAAACCGGGGCTTAGGGGGGTAATAGGGAAAACCACGCAACACACTTTTAAAAACTCACCCCTCGGTCGCTCCAAAAACGCACTTGATCATAACCAAATGGCCGAGAAAGCCGAAGAGCATTCCATGTCCGGCAGTCTTCGTCGGGCAAGATTCCACTCTCCACCAGAGGCACGCTAGTCCATGGAGTGCAGACCGCTTGCCGGCTCGCCCGACGCCTTGGCTTCGTCGTCCTTCGCCATGGGTTTGTCGTCCTTTTTCTCGCCCTCCGCCTGGGGTTTGTTCTTCTTTTTCTTCTTTCTTTTCTTCGAGCTCTGACTCTGGCTGTCCTCCTTCTCGCCCTCTTCGGCCACGGGTCCATCGAGTCCATCGGGCGGACGCGGCAGGCACTCGCATCCGAGGGCGACGTTGCACTGAAGCACGCCGCCACCCTCTGCCAAGCGGTCCTCTGTGCCCTCAGCCTCGATCTGGTTGCGGAGCTTGACCATCAGGATCGTCTGCCTTGGATCTGAACTAGAGTGGCAAGAGCTTCAAAGTCTCAAAGGCACCTACAAAAACCCGCCGTCAGCAACAAACCTTTCAAACATGTAGAGGCTCTGATCGCCGCTGAGTGAGCGCCAGTACGCGACATTGATCGGCACCTGCCACACCCTGCCGTCGCGATCCTCGATCTCCACCAAGCCCTCACCGGGACGAAGAGCCCTCGCCATTGTGCAGTACTGCGGTGCTTGTGTCACCTGTGTCTGCTGTGCCGTGACTGCTGTGTTGCCGTGCTAGACAGTGCTGCCTGTGCTGCCTGTGCTGCCACTGCCGCGCTGCTGGGCTCATGTGATCATGATGTGCTGTGTTGCCCCGCGACCCGCGAGCCACGTGCACCCTAGCTGGTGGATCGCGGCGCGGAAACAAAACCTGAATGCAGGGACGCCGGGTGAGGTACCTACGGGTTAGGGTGGCAGGGCACTCACAGGGCAGACGGGGAGCAAAGCCTACTTCGGGGCCGAAAGGGGTAGGGTGCCCTGAACCAAACCAAAAGCAACCCCGGCGAAAGCACTCTAGCAAAATGTTACTGCAAAAGTCGGCGGGCCTAGCTACACTACAAAACAAAAAAATGGCATCAGTGACCAAAGGCGAGCGAGCATCTGTGAGCATCCTAAACCCCCACGGATCAGGTCGGCGATAGCCACAGGCTCGCCGCCAATCGACACTGAGCGGCCGAGGCCACGAAAACTTGAGCCAAACCTAGGGGACGTACCCACCGAAATCGCGCTCCCGCCACAGTTTGGTGTGAAACGGCCCGGCAAAGCCTTTTGGGCCACGCGTGGGCCTTCTCGAGGCTGGCTGTGTCGCTTTTGGCCGGCGGGCCCGGGAGGGTGTGTGAAACATAGGCAGGGCGCACCCCGAAGATCGGGGCCGCGGCGGTTCCGTGATGCCTGGCGATTTCGTGTGGCTGTGTTCGACCCATCCTAAACCCTCCCCGACCACGTTCCGGGGCTTGCCGGCACCGATTTGACAGGAAAGGCCCGATCCGGCCGAAATCGTGCTCAAACCCTAGGCGGGGGACACACCGAAATCGGGCTCTCGCCGGTGCGTGGTCGGCTCGCAAAACGGCCGGCTGCCCGGGGCCGTCGGGGCGCACCCTCCCCGGGCGGCTTCAAAATCCAAAAAAATTGGGGTGCGGCATGGTGTTTTAGGGGCATGCGCGTTTGGAGTGATAAATGCTGTCAATGTAAAAAATGGATTTGGCGTGCCGGCACGCCACGGAGGAGCCGACCGAAGCCAATCTCGTGCGGCTGCTGGATCTGTGGTCGGCGGACTGGAAGCACCGGGGCCGCACGCGGGCCGTGGGGCCGGGGGCCTATGAGAGATATGCCACGCTGGGGCTGTTCGGGCACGGCGGCGTGGTCGGGGTCTCCAATGCCACGGGCCTGCGGGCAGCCTGTGCAGCCGTGAACAGCTTTCTCAAGAGCCGCTTTCCGAACGGCACCTGGACGTCCATAGCTGTGCTCTTCAACCCGCGCATGGGGCTGCACCGCGACATTCAGAACATGGCCGGGCACTTGAATCATGCGCTTGCTCTGGGCGAGTACACAGGCGGGCGGGTGTGGATCGAAGACGACGAGGGGGATTCTACCGCACTGCTGGCCGGCAAGAAGGGGGAGCAAGAGCTCCGGGGGCGGTGGCTGGACATGCACGATAAGCCAGTGAGCTTTGATGCTCGCCGCTATCACATGGTCGAGCCGCACGAGGGCAGCATGTGGGCTCTCGCTGCTTACGTTCCGCAAGCCTATGCTCGGGCAACCGAGCAGCACCGGCAAGCGCTGAGAGAAGCGGGCTTCCCGCTGCCGAGCTAACCAGTACGGGGCCGGGCCCGGAGGATTTTTTTCTCTCTCTGGGGAGGGTGTTCCAGCTCTCCACTCTGTGATAGCTACAGGCCTCAGTTCGAGACATAGGGTAGAATTCGGTACTTTGGAGCACTGTCGATTCGCGGGCCTACGGCCCGCAGCTCCGACGATCTTAGGGGCTCTAAAGTCTTTGCAAAACGGGCTTTAGAGGAACTTTAAGGGCGCCACTTGCCAGCAGCCGACGAGTGCTCGCCGGCAACTCACGAGCTACTTGCTGGCAACTCACGAGCACTCGCCGGCAGCTTACGAGCTATTTTCGAGCAGCGCACGAGCTTCTTCTTGCCAACCGAAATAACCGAAATTCAAGACAGTTCACCGAAAGTTTCGCCACTCGCCGGCAGCTTACGAGCTACTTTCGAGCTGCTCCCACGCCCTCCGCGCCGAACAAGCGCGCGCAAGCGCGTCGCTCCCCAAACAGCTCCGGAGACGGCAGCTTGCGAGCGACCTACGAGCTGCTCCCACGCCCTCCGCGCCGAACGAGCGCGCGTAAGCGCGCGTCGCTCCCAAACAGCTCCGGAGCACGACGGCGCGCCTCCAAACAGCTCGCGAGCCCTCCGCGCGCCTTCAAAGCGCCTCCGATGCCGCGCGCGCCCGTTTTGCAAGCACTTTAGAGCCCCTAAGATCGCGAGCCCTAGAGCCTCCAGCCCGCAAAATCGACAGGCCTTCGAAGTATGGAATTCTACGCTATGTCTCGAAACTAGCCTCGTAGCTACTGCAGAGTGGAGAACTGGAACACCCTCCCCAGAGAGAGCTTCAGCGACCGGTCAGGAGCAACAAAGAGCCGTTGCTCAGAGTTGCCCAAAACAACAGGTGGAGCCAAGTCCAGATCCGGTTGCCGTTCGAGTCTCGGCAGACAACGGACAACCCCTGTGTTTTGTTCCGTCGCGATCGTGCACACCAAAATCCAAAAGTCCACGGCCCACTACAGCGTGAGCGGCTTCCGGAAGAGGAGTGCGAAGACCAGTGTCGCAGGCAAGTGACCCGCCTAGGCAAACCGCGTCACAAGGCGTGCCAAGAACAAAAACGGTCTCGGATGCAACACTGGCAACAAATGTGGCAACACCCACACAGGCAACCCCACCGCGGGACAAGTTGCGCGCCCAGTCCGCTATGGTGCACATGGACACCGCCTCCAGCAGCAAATCAATGTCGCAAGCGTAAGTTGGGACACAGAGTCAGCCGCTAAGGAGGCAGAGATCGCCAAGGTGGACATTGACATGCAAGTCAAAAGGTTCCACGGCATCGCCGAACGGTTGTGGAGGCTATGGCGATGGAAGACACCATTCGGTGGTGGTACTAAACCGATTGACAAGTGAAGGGGCAAGCGGTGAAGGCCGGCAGGCGGCGAAGCTAAAGGAGCAAACACCCTTCCGCTCGAACGTGCACACCAAATCCAGCTTCGAACACCAGGTGACGGTGCACCATCGAGGTGCCGAGGGCATAAGGGACAAAGAGAAAGAGACTCAACGACGTATGTCGTCAGTCGCAACGAGGGTGCAACGACATGGTGGCGGAGGCCTGCCCCGTCGAGTCCGCCTCTGCAAAGCACGCTTTTGCCGAGTGACCCCAGGTGTCGCTTGCTCCAGAAACAAAGACACAACGACGTATGTCATCGGTCACAACCGACTGTAGACAAACCGTCAGCCGGAAGGCCAGCTACCGCTTAGCGCGGCCAGCTATCAAGTAGGCGCTGCATGTCACGACCGCTTGAAGGGAAGTGACTCTCCCTTAAGAGATAGAGCAGCTGGTAATTGCCGTCCTGATAGATTTCCTTCACTCTTCGAAAAGTCTATTGGCGACTGTCCTGATCTGGGGCAATTGGAGGCCAGGTCCGAGGCCCTCTTGCCTGTGGAACTCCTCAACCGCTGCCCCCGGCAGCTCCTGCGTCTGATTCTCTTTCCGGGCTACCGGTGAAGGAGGACCATCGCTTTCGAGTCAAATGCGTCGAAATGCGCGAAGCCACAGCCGGTCTGGAAAGTAAAAGTCTTTCTTTTGTGGTCTACGTATCCAAGAGGCCACTACTGAAGAAGACTGAGCTTGCAGACCTAGCGGAAGTCTGCCAGCGGTAAGAGCAGCCGAAAAGTGTCCCGATACGCACTTGGGCACGTGAACATTCTCGGATCAAACTCGCCGCGTCGAACTGGGAGGAGTCCACTCTTGAAGCATGTCATCAGCCGGTCAGCAATGGGTGGAAAAATAAAACAAGAAAAGCAAACTTCATGAAACAAAACACAATTGCAAGCCAACGCAATCACACACATAAAACAAGACGAAAGCTCCAGAAAAGAAGAAGAAGCCACACGAATTTGCTTTTTGGCGCGTTTGCAAGAAGGTTTCGAATTCTCTCTTCATCCTTCCCTTCAAAGCTTCAAACCTCTTCAATCCCCATTTAAGCTTCCTTAAAGTCTCCCTTTGAAGTTAAAGCCGCTTGAAATAGGTGGCCGACACCTGGTTTTCCAGAACTCAACGAACCGCTGCTAAAGCAAACTCAGATTCTGAAGCGCCTTCTACGGATCCACTTCTGCGTTCGGGAGTTGTCAGGATTTGGTGACTGGGCAGAAGCCTCGAAAACCTTAGAAAGTGCTAGAAAACATAAACAGACATTATTGAACATGCAAAATTCTTAATCTCACGGGCTTGAAGAAGCGCTGCAACTTGGAAATTGTTGACAGTCTGTGCAAACCACAGGTGCGGTTGACATCTACAATATTGACAAGACCGGACGCTTTGCCATGTGAGAGGCTACTGTACAACATTTTCTTACCTTGCTTTCTTTCCCCTGTTTCTGCCTGCAGTAAAGTTTAAACCAGCCCGCAGAATTTGGGGGCGAAGGTGGTTAACTTCGTTCACCAGTATGAGCTCGCTCAGCCGGAGATTTGGTGGTGGCATAGCATCTCCGTTTTGGAACGGTTTGGTGCAAATGTTCTTGGCTCCCAAGGGACATCTCCCAGCAGGCAACCCGTGGTCTCGGATCCAGCCATCGACGCTCCACTGGGGATGGCGGCGCAAGCCTTAACTCGAACCAAGGGACTCTTCTACTTTACTGTGGTTGCCAGTGCAGTTGCTACTTTATTTCACAAGAGCATAGCAGACACCCTGCAGGTGTTCCATTTTGCAGCTTACCAACGTTACTCCCCGGGAGCGTATTGGAGCACTTTTCGGTTGCTCTTTCCGCTCGCAGACATCCCACTGGGTCTGCAAGCACAGCCTTCCCTTTCTATTCAGGCCGCGTGCCTATTAAATAGTGCACTGTGGCACCTTCGTGCTGCTGCTACCATGATGGATGGGATCTTCGGGCGGTAGTGGCC